CAAGTCAGTTGGTATCCTAGGGCCTTATTTCTAAACAGTATATATGAATATATAAAAGTGAGTTGATAATATGAATAATCAATTTTAATATAATTTTGGTAATTTTCATAGATAACTATGTTTATACTCATTATTATTTACTATGAAACTTCAAACTTGGAGTATAGACCCTTATAATAATTTTTCATAGTTTTCTTTAAAAATATTAAATAAAGTACATAATTACGTTAAAGTAATAACTTTTAAAAAAATTTTATTTATTTTTTTTAAATTTTATTATTTTTGTGTGAGTGTACCGTCAAATCAGATCTGACTGGTACAGGAGGAGACTGACCCTCCTTCCCCGGCAGAGCATCTGGTGGATTTGAACCGTGTGCCTCTGGGATTGTAGTTGCAGCTCCTTGCCACTAGGTCACCAGAGCTCCCCTTAAAGTAATAACTTTAAAATTTTTCCATTTTTTCTTTTTTATTTTATATTGGTTTGCATATACATTGTGTTTTACACATTCCTTGATTCCCATTGTATTGCATACAATCATTCCTTTAATTTGTGCTTTATAAAATTAATCACCACTAATCTATGCCTACCATTGCCACATCTTTTCAGGTTCCCACTGGATCTTTCCTAACTTCTTCTTCCTTCCCTTTGCCCACCAAACTCTGAGATCCTGTGATTTCCCTCCCTGCAAACCCACAGCCTCTAGCTTGCACTCCTTCTCCCTTTGGATTTTCATACACATCTTACTAGTTATCCTTCAGTTTTTACAATAATGATCTTATGTTGTATTTGTCCTTATGAGACGTGAGTTAATTCACTGAGCATAATGTTCTCCGGTCTCTCCCATGTTATAATAGTATTTTTTGAAATTGTTCCTCCTGAATGCCGCATAGTATTCCATTGTGTGAATGTACCACAGTTTTTCAGTCCAATTGTTTGTCAGTGGATATTTGGGCTGTTACCATGTTCACCTGTTTGTCTTGCCTTGTGATACTGTTAGCAGGAAAAGATACTTGCTCTGTTAGCATTCTTTTACATCAGTCTCATAGGAATGTTAGTGACACAGTAGATTATATATTAGGCTGCTAACTGAAAGTTTGGCAGTTTGAATCTACCAGCCACTGTGTTGGAGAAAAGTGAAACAGTACACCTTTGAAAGATTTTTCTGTTCTGTCCTCTAGAGTCCCTGTGAATCCAAATTATTCAATGGCAATTGGTTTGGCTTTCCCATAAATTGTGATTGCCTTACTCCAGTGTAGCTTGAAATAAAATATTTGACTAAAGGAACAGATTATGCCTGCTTTAATTTTCTGGCTCCTGAGTGAAATGTTGGTAGTAAACATATTCACATGCTTCAAATAGAAACAGTTAAGTGTAAACCAACGGGTATTTGAAACAAAATGCCTTAGTTATTTCCAAAGGAAGATTTTAATAAACTTTTGCCCAACTTTTTAAAAATATGTACAATTGAAATTTGAGTTTATTCACTATGCTCTAAGTTTCCCAAAATACTTATGATCTGCTTTTAATAATCCCATTTAATTCCAGTTTAATTGGTTGGCACTTCTTCTTTGCTTTGCAAACTATGGCCACTAATTTTAAATTTTTAATTGACTGTAAGTGAAATGCCAAATATTACTTGTGTAATTCTTATTGTGGCTAACCTAATGCACTTAGTTCCAATGTAGAATATTCATTGAAAAATCTTGTAAATTACTGCTTAACTTGGGAGGGACTGGAGAACATGATGCTGAGTAAACTAACACAGTCCCATAAGGCCAAATACTTTATAAAACCATTATTGTAGAATGAGTATGAGGATCCAAGGGGGGGAGGAGGAAGCAGAAGGGAGGAGGGTGGGGGATCTTAATCATAGGTTTACACAATTCAATGGGGCAGGTGAAGGAAATGGGAGGGATGTTTTGTGAAAAACAATGTATTCAAACTTTGCAAATTAATCAGTATAAAATTTTAAAAAATCTTAAGATTTAACCTGATTAACAAATATTTAGACACCTACTTGCCAATTTCGGCATTCATCCCTCACCTCAGTGTGCGTCAGTAAATATCTTATGCTCTAGCAATCACTCAAAAAATTTCAGTTGTGTACAATAAAAAATTTGGATAACAGGTTTAAAAAGAAACTTGTCTTGCGGATTAAGTTGAAAGGATGTGTTGTTGTTATGTGCCGTCGAATCGCTTGCTACTCATAGTGACCCTATGTACAACAGCCCTAAACTCCGCTCTGTCCTGTGCCAATTGCACTGTCTCTGACACTCCCATCCCAATTATCCCAGTCA